TTATTATTATTATTATTATTATTATTATTATTATTATTATTATCATCATCATTATGTATTTGAATCATTATTGCAATTATTATTTTCACAACGTCTGTTGTCATTACAATTAGCATAACTATTATCATTATCATGTAGCACCATCGTTTTTCTTACAGATTTGTTTACAAAAATACAATTTGATAACTGTATAAGTTGCTCGGAATAAAAAAGAAAATTATTCAGCTTGTCGATAGTGTAAACTGAAACGTGTTTGTAATTAATTAATGAGATGTTTAACGGCAATTTATATTATCCTCTAAAATTTTTGTTTCAAGTTATTAAATCATTATAATAGCTTACTCCAAAATTGTTGCAGGTTTTTACCATGAATATTTACTCGGCACAACTACCGATAGGCTATAGTAGCTTTACATAGTACTTTCAACGTTATAAGTCTTATGCCTAATGAAAATAAACTGTTGTTTGTACATTAAATAAAATTATGTTTTACCGTATTCTTTTCGTTATTCATATGTATGATGTATTTTATTGCATACAGAGTATTATAAAACATTATGAATATACATCCATATAAAAGGATTACATAAATATATATATTTGTTTTGCAGTTTTCTCTTTGTCCAACTCGAGTACAGCACCGCAAAAGCCATGGCTTGGATTAGATCACGTGAATAAAGCACCAAAGCGTTCTCGCATAAATTACCTTGAAAAGGCAATTAAAATTTATAATTAGTCTTAAAGAGTCTTCACAAACAATGTATTATTAGACATCGAGTAACCAGCATTCAACAAGACTTCAAGAGCTAACAGAATGTGAATTAATAGAAAATGTCAATCACGTTAATGCAATAATAATTTTATAAATAATGTTCATAACATTAATAAAAACTGTAATATTCTTTCTTTACAATTTTTTTTTTTTACAGTAGATGCACAAATTTAAATTCTACCATGTGAAATTTCTTTATGAAAACTACTAACTTTGTATTTTCAACAACGTTTTCAGAAGATTTTTATAACGATAGTAATTGTCATAATGATCATGAGGCAGTAGATCACTGTACACATAGAAATTTAACACGTGATTGTACACAATAACTCAGCAAAGTTACAAACGAACACAAAATAACTAGTACACATATTTGTTATGCACAAAAATAAACTTTTACAAGTTAGGTATACATAAAATTTTTGTTGACGTACGAGTAATTTTAAATAAAAATGAAGTAACAAAATGTCAGCTTAAATGAACATAAATTTTTAACGATCACAAATGTTTTAAGCTCATTGGTTTCATGAGTAAAATATTTTATACACACAATTTTATGACACAAATACAAATTTACAGATTTTCCATAAATAAATATTTACTTACCAATACTTGTAAACAAAATTGTAATAAAAACGGTATCGGTATCGTTATCGGTCAAATATTGTTAACAAAATATTAAATAATTTCTTGAAAGAGATATCAGATAGTTGCTGAGTGCAGTAATCTAACATAGTGCCATCTGTTTGAAAGTAAGCAGTAGCGCTTCATAATACGAGCATAGGTATTTCTCAAAAATTTTTTACTTAACTTTGAAAAACCTACTAAAAAATGATGAGTTAATCAATTGTTCCACACTCAAAACAAAATAATTTACATTAAATTATCATTTACCGCTGAATATAAATCTATTACTTGAAAATTGCAAAGAGTGGCGCATTTTTTTGAAACGCGATTGTTTAAGCCAACAGGAATGATTGCGTAAATTAGTCTGTAAAATCTTTTTTTATAAATTATGGCTTATAATAAGAAAGAAACGTTTTTAACATGTTATGACTAAAACTAATTAAAAGGTGGACAAGGTAGGTCAATAATTATAAAAAAAAAAAAAAAAAATTGACGTAGCTTCGAACAATATTTTCATGGGGTAATTCAAGTGTTTGGCCTAATACATTTAAAAATTCTAACCGTTGTTAAAATTTTATTAATCTTATAGGGTAAATAAACTATAATTGTATGTTACAGCTTATTTTCACATTATTTATGTTCCTTCTCTGTTACTCTTTCCAACACACTATATTAATCTTGCAGACTCATAACAAGTAAGCTTGTAAAGAGCAAGTATGTCATGTTTGTCTGCAGCTAACATCACTAGCGAGCTAGACCGATGACTTCTGGTAGTAGTTAAGGTAGTTGTACAGCAAATTGAAATATAGGATAGAAAATTATGATATTTTGCAGGATGGTAGATTAATGCATAAAAATAAGAAATCTAAATTTTTGTGACCCGAGGGTACCTATAAAGGGAGATATTCATAATTATTTGCATGCCTTGAGTTTTTGTTTACATGCCAATTCAACATGGCGTCTTATGGGAAACCGCGGAGCTGTCTGTATATTATCATTCATATCGTTGCTAATATAGGATAGGTTCTGATGCCCTTTGGACAGTAGAAAGATAATTAAATGACAATTATATATTCGCTTTCAAAACCTTCCAAGGGTACTTGTGAGAAAAGTAATTAAATAGTAAAGCGTGAAGAACGTGCATTTGTGAGACGCTATTTGAAAATATGGCAACGCCGCATAATCTGATATTACGCGCGCGGTTTGAAAGGTAAATAGGTACATATGATTGCTCGTAAATCCTGATTACTGCAATCTCTCTTATAGATTTTCAATTATTGTTATAGGACGTATATTTTAAATAAATATGATAAATAAATATATAAATAATAAAACGAACTGATATACAAAGAACATCAAAACAATTTTATTGCCATATATTACTTAAAAATGAAATAAACATGTTATAAATTAATATTTATGTAATAAATATTTAACATTTATTTTTTAAATAATTAAATAGCCTATTTGTTTGTCTGTAAAAACGTCGTTAGAATTTCCGCATGCTCGGCATTCAATATAATACGTCGTACCAAGGCCTATGGGCTTACTAGTAGTCGCATCCAAAAGAGATAATACATTTTTGCAATGCTTGCAAATTAATTGATGTGCAATCATTTCCATGTTCACAATTTTACAACCTTCGTCTTTCAGATTGATGTATTTTGATGGTTCGCGTGATGCAAGTGTAGATTTGACTGCGGTTTTGAGGTTACGCGCTTGTTTACAATTTTCACGGCGAACATTCCACACGTTTCGGCCGGCTTTTTGCTGATTAATGCGTGCATTATATACTTTCTCGCTTACCCTTACACCTTTCCAAAAAAACTTCTTATTTTTTTCTTTGGGCATGACTATTTTATTAACCAAAAAAAAAGATACACACGCTTCTCCTTTTGCTACAGCTGATCAACGAAGTGCTCCTTCTATGATGCTCTGAACACACACTTACAGGCATACACACATGACCGCAAAGCAACGTTGCCAGATCGTTCTACTACACAAATCAAAAAGTTTCATGACTCTTGCGGTACCTGTACAACTACCTTAAGAAAAAAACGAGTTGAGTTTCTTTCATTTCATTCTTTTTTTTGTAACTTTTTATTAAATCTGGAGGTCAAATAATTGTACAATTGTATGGATAATATATTATAAAAACAAGAAAATTCTAATATATGATGGTATTGGTCATCACTTGATAAAGATCCATGTCAGGTTTATTAACAGTCTTTTCATATAATTAAAAAGAAAATTCAAGGAATAGTCGGGTAAAATTTGGATAGTTTAACTCTATTACTCATATTATATTACGGATAATTATCAAGACAATGCAAAATTTATGTATTAATTAGTGTTAAGTTAATTGCTTTTGGCTAATTACCAAGGATTGAATTGTGACAAGGAATAAATAAAAGTCGATACTTTAGTATTTTTACTTGATTATGTGTACATATGATGAGCTGAATAAATTAGATTAAAAATAAATATAAGCGTAAAAGGTTTAACCTTATGATTTAGAAATGTTTATTAGCATCCTATTGAAATATTCTTGATTTTAAAAAGACAAACATTGTCTTAAAAAATGTAAGTGCATTGTTCGTGAAAAACATTGTCGTCATACAAGTAATCTTGTTGCCACTACAGTGCGTTACTCTTTCTAATTTCATAATAACAAACCCCGTAATAGTAGGTCAAAATTTTAATAGAACAATTTATTTAGAGGTATATCATAAAGTCAATCATGTAACATGGCATACAGATCCTCCTTTTTCAGGTTGTGGGAGGTCTCTCTCTCTACAGTGCTCATTGCATCTTTCGGAATTCAATAGCTATCCATTGCTTGAATAATTTTAGACTTCAAAATACTTATATACGCTAAAAAATGATAATATTATTTAACGTCAACTTAACCTGATAATAACGTATTAACGATTACACATTAAATCACACATTGAATTAAACATCATTAACGCTATAGATTTAGTGATACATTGTGCTTTACGTCGCATAAAAAAACTTGAATAATTTGAATTGTAATTACAATATCTTTACAGAACTACTCATTTTTTTTTTTTTTTAATTTGGACTATAATATATTTTAAATACTCTAGTTGCACAGTTGTACTCATGTGACTTACATACTCTGACAAAAATCTTATCAGTACTGAACAGCAATTAAAATTCTATGTGAGTCAAACATTCACGAAATGAGCTTGAAAAGTACCAGTCTACAACCAATTTTTACAGTAGTTTTCTTACAAATCCTATCCAAGGTGATTGATTATGACGTGGCTGAAGCTTTTTTATTCGTTCTATGATAGAACGAGACGAAGAGCGAGTGAATTTGAAAATGAGGTCTAAAAATTTGAAAAGGCTAATATTTGAAATAGTTAAAATTTCGCGCTGTAACATAGCTAAATAACTTACACTTTTAGATTTGATTATATGGTTTATTAGAAAAAACTATTTTAAATACTAATGTTAATGTAACACTCGATATGAAAAATTAGTCTGCGTTGTTACAATTATCTAGAGTTGGATTCTGTTCGATTGGCTTATACTTTCAAATTCACTTAGTATGGTAAGAGTTACTATATTACTTTACGAAGCTAAGATCTCGAAGTATTTTTTATGGTATCTCAAAATAAGAAATTATTAACACAATTATTAGTTTAAAGATAAGATGTGAATAATAGATAGCAAGAAAATTAGTTTTTCTTACTTTTGACATAATAGAAAATGCAGGAAAGTTATTTTGTTTGGTTATAAATTAAAATTGAATAACGTAACGGAAAAATATTCGTGAATGTAAATCAAATCAAATAACAAAATAATTTAAGTGTAGGAAGCGTGTTTAACACAACTATTTTACATAAAACGACAATTGACAAAAATTATCAACATTTTTACGGTTTCTGATGAGTCATACTTTTCTACTAATTTATGTTTCCTTAAGAACTTTAGTAAAATTTTTCATAACTTTTAATTACTTAGTTAAATTCAAGTTAGCATTATATTGTTGTACATTACACCGAATATTACTGCAATTGCATCCTAGTAGTGGAACGTCATTTTAAAACTGTATTAGTCATTTATTGTTCCAACAAGTAAAACATAATTTTCAAGTTGTTCCTAGAATAGAAGTTTTATTTTACCTCCTTACAGAGCTTTCGCACAAGTAAACTCAGTTTTTTTAAGTCATTAACTTAGCTCGTATACTTTTGTAAATTAGTAAAAATAGAAAATGTTCTTCACTGAAAGGTTAATAATAGCTGGCCTTCGGTTACGAAATCTCATTTTGAGAATATTGCTTTGGAAAAATCTGTTTTTTTTTACTGTTTTCTTTATGTTACAATCTACATATTTTCAATATGAAAACATAAGTATCACGGAGGGAAAAATCATGGAGCAAACGCATAGCGGCGATGGAAATGCCCCCCTTTTTTT